CCCCCCCCACATTATGTTGAATTACCCACGTCTTATTGAATCATCTTTTCTTCCTGCAATATGCATGAATACGCTGTCATTAGATGGATTAAACGGAGCATTTATACATAATGATCTGTAACCTTGTCCTGCAGGTAGCAGGAATAGCCATGACTGTGCTCAGAACCTCGGTAATATTTGAAAAGAAGTGGCTGGCAACTGAAATCCATGCAGCAGTGGCCTGCCCAACACTGGAGGGTAATGAACATGTTTGGAGAACAGTAAGCTGGGTCGTAGCTTCCACTGAGGTCATGTCTTAAGATTTACTCTGGGGAATTTGGGGTTTTAGCAACTGGGAGAGTTTACGGTCAACAATTCATCTTGCGCATGGTGGGTATTTTTGTAGGCTGATTCCAGTACTTTTAAATATATTCAGATTTGATCCCCTGAAGCCTTTTCAATTTCTGCACTAGAATTTATATCCTGGCAGAATGGGGAAAAGATCACAAACGGCACACAAATTTACCGGAATAGGAATAGTTTGCTATGCACTTTTTTTTACTGGTTTAGATAAAGTGATACTACACGTGTCTCTACAGTAAATGTAGAACCAGCAACTTTTAACTTAAAGTTAAAAACAGTTATCCTGGCCCTGCACTTTGCCAAGAAATATAGTTTGTAAAACTACAAATTGTCATCCTTACACTTCAGATCTTGTACACTTTAAAGCTCACTAATAAAGAGGTTGGCTCATTTGTTTTAGAGGTGCTGGGTGCTGGTTGGTAGATTTTTGTTACCTTTTGCCAGGTAGTTGTTTCAGAGCTAAGCATCTCCTGTACCTTCATATTTAACAGTAACTCTCAGCATTAAGGCAAATGAGCACCTGTCATTTGTCTTTGTTTTTAAGTAAATGTATATCAAAACTATTAAACTTTAATTTGTTGTGGCATGACTTCAGTGTCTAACCTTGCTGGTTATAGATAATATAACCAATAGATTGTTAGAAAAGACCCAACATGGATATATTTAAGTGCTATATTTTGCCATTTGTGTACAGGTAGCCTTTTCTTCACTGAAAACACAATCCAGTGGTTCCTGCCCAGGCACATCGACCCTCTGGTTTCCTCTGACCAGTTCAAACTGTTGGAGGTGCACATGGGAGTCGATGGCCAGAGGCTCGACGCTGCTGAAATGGCTGCCAGACAATACACTCTGTTGGTTGATGACATTTACATTGTCGTTGAAATTCCTGTTGGTGCTGTCGGTGGCTACTTTAAGGTTAGTGGCACGCAGACTTTCTTTTTTTAATATGAATTAATGGATTTTGTCATTAGTAGATTCACAATTCATATAATATAAGCCAAATATGGATGTGTGCATACATTTAATTCCCCAAATAGACAAGACTCATAAATCTCTGAACACTATATAGATGTATAGATGTATAGAGTAAATATTCATGAAATGGTCCATCTTGCTGTCTACTTCGTGCTTTTGCATCAAAGTTAAACACACCAAATGTAAACCACTCTATCATTCTACACCAGGATATTTAGGGGTTTTGTGAAGCCTTTCGTGGAAAATTTAACTCCTTAAGTCCGTAGTGTGCGTCTCATATTTGAGTCCAACTTAACACAACTCTTGAATAACAGTTCTGTGCAAAGAAATTCACTCTTAACATGCATAGATGTCCTTAAATCTGGGTTTACAAGATGGTGACGTCATTAAGCGAAGGCCTCACTGAGGATATTTGATTTTGCAGAGCTACATACAGAATGATCAGTACCTCACTACTTACACGATTGAGCCGATGCTCGAGTTGCGGTGGACTGAAGAATACAGTCATGAGGACACGAGATACAAAGTCCTCTTTCCCATCACGACACCGTTACAGTTTCGACCTCTGCAAGTTTTTGATGGTGAGTCTTATTTTCTTGGTACTGTGATTTCATAAAATATGCAGTTAATATTGGAAAGCTACTGTAATCATTCTTTATTTTTGCCCCACAGACACTGTTCTCAAGGAGCGGATATTTAAAGTGCTGCTCGGGCCCTTCGGTTCTGATGTGGCACTAATCAACTTCACCTTCCCCTCTGAGGTTTTGTCTGTGGCGGACTGCATTGCCAGAGGCTTTAACGTCCTGGAGCACATGCCCCCTAACAGCAGTTCCAAGGTCTTCACACTTGAAGTGCCTTTCACGGACCGCGTTGTACTACAAATGGTAGGCATTACTCTCAACTTGGGAAATTAAATATTGTTGTTTTTGTCTTTTATTGTAAGTTTGTCTGCTAATCTGCCTCCCAACAGAAAGAAATGGGGATGACGGTGTACTCTCTTCACGTGACCTTCGGTTTGCTGGTCCTGCCAGAGTTTGCTCCATTTTCTCTCACTGCTTCTCTGGAAGCTAAGCTGGTAGACATGCGTATGTATCCATACATATGATCTATTCATGACAAAATGGGGCACAAGTGGAATAATCTGTATTGGCACACAAATGCCAAGATCACTGAACTGTAAAGCATTTAAAGACACTTGACCTTCATCTTGATGGTGAACCGAAAGCTACATTTCTGTGCAGTTTCGTTTTAAAATCTGTTTTATTTTTATTTTTTATTCCCCTCTGCAGTTCCTCCCTCTGTTTCTGGTAGCTGCGACCATCAAAACTTCTATATTCTTGTGAAATACGGGAGTCACAACTTGAACTTTCAGACCATAGTGGGAAAACGACTGTTGAACGCAGATCTGGCTCAGGAATGCAGCGTAATGGATAATGGAACCCACATTAGTGTTGTAGTGCCGTTTTCATCCCCCAATGTCGCATTTGAGGTACAATCAGGGATTTATCTTGGTGACGTTGCTGTAAGATGTTATAATTCTTGTTTCGTTTATTTTATTTTTTGTTTCTGACAACTTCTCAGGCTATTGAGTCGTCGTCCATCAGGAGCAGACTTGATGTGGTTTTGAGGAATCCGGAAACTAACTCAAATATCAAAGAATTCTCCCTGGCTTGCAATTTCTACTCAACGCTGATTGGTTTGTTAAAAAAAAGTTTTTATACATTGTGACAAAATGCCTAATGCAAACTAATTTCTGATCCTCAACTTCCAGAGTGTTTTCCTAATGGCACCATGACAGCCCTGGCTGTGAAACTGGAGTCAGTCCCCAGTCTGAACCCCAGTCAGCTGACCCTCAGAGACCCCACCTGTGTTCCCGCCTACAGCGACGACCACTATGCTTATTTTGTCTTCACTGGGAGCTCTTGTGGGACAACTAGAAAGGTATTACGCTGCTGAATGTTTTCATGATGCAGATATTGAGATTTGACCAAAATGGTTTTTGTCTTTTGTTTAGTTTCTGCCCAATATGATGCTGTATGAAAATGAAATCTCTCTGCCAGATGAACTTGGAATGAGTATGCAATCCACATCGGACAAGCCAGTGTATGAGTGAGTGACTAAAAATTAGATTAAGTTTTAAGACTATCATCAAAACCATTGCCAATTTATCTTCAGATGTTTGACTAATATTTTCAGATCTATGCGCTTTAAGAAACTGACAAATATTTGTCTTAGACTCTCTAATGTGAGCAATTACAGCATTTTGTCTGAGTTAATCTAGTGTCTTTGATCAAAAGTCCAAAAATTCAGACTTTTTGACCACTTTTATACTCCAAAACTTAACTGCTTCATGTTAGTGCTGCAAATATTTTCTTATTCTTACATCACAGGTGTTAGCAGGGGGCCAATGCCAAAACTAAAGTGTCATAAGAGACTTATTGTCAAACATGTATGTGAAATGGGTTTTTGATCAATCACTATCCTGACTAAGTCTTTCTTCAGGTTAAAGGTTTTTTGTTACTATGACATAAACAAAACCCATGCAGTGGCGTTCCACACCAGACCTCGCAGGAGTGAACCATACGCTGAAAATGCAAAAGGCGAGCTGCAAATTGCAATGAGACTCTCTTTGGGTAAGATGTTCTGAATGCATTGTTTTCCCACAGTATTTCACATGTTTCTAGAGTTGTTCTGATACCAGTATTGTAAATTCATCCGATACTGCGTAAAAGGCGGCATCTGCTATTGGCGAGTACGATCCAATGCCACCTAATTTATTAACTCATGTATTGGATTGGTACTCGTTATCGGCCAATACACAAAGCTCAGGTATCAGAATCAGGAAGGATAAAAATGGTATCTGAACTCGTTTGTTCACCAACATGGGGAATCTTTTTCACCCCTTCACTTTAAAATGCTTAGTGATGCCATAAAAGCGCAGTATTTTAAGCCAAAACCAAATGGTTCATAATGATGTAAAAGGAGCTGTTGAGGCAGTTGTCGCTCTTCTGTCTTTAGGAGAATAGCACGTTTCAAAAAGCCACTGGATGTTCCTAAATTAGTAAACTGACAGTGTCTTCTATAGTCAGGAGGCAATCTCACAAATTGATCAAATTGTGTTGCTCAAATAATTGGACTTCTGACATAAAGTTCATTGACTCATTTTAAACCAATCATCTTAACGGCCGAGTTGGCAAGTCGGACGAATGAAGGCAATTTACTCAAGTTAAATTCTCTCACTCATTTGTGTTGTACACCTGGAGGGTCTGTGCAGGCTCCACAGTCTGAATCCTTAATGATTCAGCTCAACACGCACTGTCTCTCGTCTCTTAGATGACTCCTACACAGTGTTTCACAGCGTTGAGGATTATCCCATAGCAAAGTACCTACAACAGCCGGTGTATTTTGAGGTGGAACTGATGAGGTCTACAAACCCCCAAGTATCCCTGGAGCTGGAGAACTGCTGGGCAACGCACTACGGCGACAGGACATCCCAACCAAGATGGAACCTCATCATTAATGGGTAACAAAATGTAACCCTCAAACTGCGACATGGGCATTAGTCTAGTTTATTCCCTAATGGACATGGTGTGCAACGAGACATGAAGGATGGGGATATTAGCTTTGTGAAAACTTCCAGTTTGACTTAAAATGGAGACAACATGGCGGCCATTCAGCCAACATGCTTGGACATGTTGGACCCATTTTTTGTTTTTAGAAGTTAACTTTTTTTTTTTTTCTTCTTCCCCTCTTCAGCTGTGTAAACCCAGTGGACCCACACCAGGTGATCTTCCATCCTGTTTGGGCTGATGCCAGAGTTCAGTATCCGTCTCACTTCAAGCGCTTCGAGGTCCCGATGTTTGCATTCGCTGAAGACGAAGATAATTTGAGTCGGGAGGTAATTTCAGCCATAAGAATAGACTCTCTTCTGCTCCCATTTATTTAATGCTTCAGATATGAAGTGTAAAGCTGTAAAATGTCACTCACAACAGCCACAAATCTGTTCATATCCTGTAGCTCTTTGTCCACTGTGATGTGGTGATCTGTGATGCCAGAAATCCACTGGGTAGAGCTTGTAATAGACAGTGTTCAAACCTGGACAACAAGATAAAAGGTGACATTTAATTCTGATTGGGGAAAACAAATGTCTTTTTTTAATTGGCTAAGACTTATATTTTATTTGTCTTCCACAGGTCAAAGACGTGCTGTTTCAGATGGTCACAATTTCAAACATGTGTCATCAGGACCAATTCTCATAAATTAATGGAAAAGTTCGTTTTTTTTTTTAAACTTCAGCTTTGAGTTGTTTTCTTGGCAATGTGCTGGAAATGGCAATATGTAGACTTGACTCAAATAATGGTGACTTACAAGTTGTTTTAAACTGAAATGTTTTCTATGGTTCAAATGACTTCAGCTGAGACCTCTAACCTTTAAAAACTCGTTGTTACATTAAGTGTTAACTGGAGCAGAGCCTGTGTTTGAGCATTATTTGAATGACGAGAGCCAGACCTGTCAGACTGTCGCAGTAACTTCAAAATCAAATGTACAGTTTACAATCTATCAGACCAATCTGAAATGCTAAATGCTGTAATTAAACACTAAGAAATTCAATTACTGTAGCTTCAAGTTGTTTTGGTGTGTAGTGTAGTCTAGACTCTGAGGTGTTCATATCAGGGGTGGTTCTAAAGAAATATCAATAAAAATAATGCTGATTTAATAGCAAACGATCACATTAATATTTTCTTGGGAAAGCCCCCAAATTAAGAGATTTTAACTCTAAAACATTGTGGTACATCTCATGAATAGACTAAAGGTGGAATTGGAGCTCAATATTGAAATGTGGCTCTAACTAGTCAGTCCTGACCTCCTACTTGATCCATAAAATTGCCATACACAGCTGACCTCCCAGTGCTCCTACTACAATGTCCTTAACCACACTGTAAAAAAGCCAACTT